CACCGTTGTCAGCATCAAGGCCCTAGAGCCCACCGCCAAGGTTCCCTTCCCGACGCCGACTACCTACGACGCCATTGTTCGCTACCACCTCGAGATCGGAGCCCCAGTGTCCCGCCAGTTTGTTTCCACCCTGGCTGCTTTCGCCCCCAATGACACCGTTCGCGCCGAGATGACTAGACTTGGCGGTGACAAGGACTACTTCCACGAGAAGACGGGTGCCCACTACTTCAACATCTCCCGCTTCCTTTCCTCCGTGAGCGGCGGCGCTCCTTGGGCCAATATCCCCTTCTCCGCCTGGATCGAGGGCATCACCAAGCTCCAACCCCGCTACTACTCCATCTCCTCCTCCTCCCTCGTCCAGCCCAAGAAGATCTCCATCACCGCCGTGGTCGAGCGCCAGGCTATTCCTGGCCGCGAAGAAGACCCCTTCCGCGGTGTCGCCACCAACTACCTCTATGCCCTCAAGCAGAAGCAGAACGGCGACCCGAACCCCGAGATCTTTGGCCAGACATACGAAATCACTGGTCCCAGGAACAAGTACGACGGTATCCACGTGCCTGTACATGTTCGCCACTCCAACTTCAAGCTGCCTTCTGACCCCTCTCGTCCCGTCATCATGGTTGGCCCTGGCACCGGCGTCGCACCCTTCCGTGCCTTCATCCAGGAGCGTGCCAAGCAGGCCGAGGACGGCGCGACTGTCGGTCCAACACTGCTCTTCTTCGGCTGCCGCAAGTCTACCGAAGACTTCGTTTACAAGGAGGAATTCGAGGTACGTATCCTTTGTCCCCGAAGCTACACGGCAGGCCTCGATAGGCGTGCCGTGATGACGTGGCAGCAATAACTGACAGACGCAGTCGTACAAGAAGTCCCTCGGCGACAGCTTCGAACTCATCACGGCCTTTTCCCGCGAGGGCCCCAAGAAGGTCTACGTCCAGCACCGCCTGCGCGAGCCCCCCCCAGCAGGTCAAACGACCTCCTTCAGGAAGAAGGCTTACTTTCTACGTCTGGTGGGGGACCCCGCCAACATGGCGCGCGAGGTCAACACGTTCCTCGGCCAGATCATTGCCGAGCAGCGCGGCGTGTCCGAGGCTAAGGCTGAGGAGATTGTCAAGGGCATGCGCGCGGCGAACCAGTACCAGGTACGAATTCTTTCCATTTTCCTCCCCTGGGCCGTCGATTCGATTAGGAGGCTCGCATAAATGTGGCTTGCTTGATGCTAACTTTGCGTAGGAGGACGTCTGGTCTTAAATTGCATGCAGAGGGTAGAGCCATCAGGCATTTGTCTCGTGGAGCGAAGATTTTTTTTTTTCATGGTCCCCAACCATGGCTGATGCAAGCGTGCACGTGCAGCGATCGGAAATCGAAAGGGGAGATGGGGGCTCGGGAAAGGAAAGGATAAACAGATGGACGGCCGGGCGGTTGGGCTGGGCTGGTTGTCTCGAGTTTGGCAAGGGGAGCTCACGGGCTTTCACGGCTTTGGTCTGGCATGCATAGTAAATTTGGCTTACCTCGTTCACATGTAGCAAGGGTGCAAACCGTTTATACAACGATAGACTTGAATCAGCCTTTGTTTTTTTCCCTTTCACCACCACTGCTGTCTTGGGTTTCAGGGAAGCACATAATTGCAAGTCAGAGGCGTCGATTCGCCATCGATCTACGGTGGGCCGCGGATGAAAAACCTGGTTGGAGAGCTCGGCATTCGTCCTATCCCATTCTTCAATGAGGCTATTTGTTGGCATCAACTGTCTTCGTGGCGCTCTCGCTTGACCTCGATATGCGGATAAATAGTGATGTTTCATTGCCAGCCAGCTGGTTCCGATAGGATCGGACCCGAATCTAGCGTAGCACTGCTGGGCCACGCCTGCAGAGGAGCAGCGGCAGGCTACTATCTAAAGAATGTGCAGATGTGACCTGTCATCTCAGCTATGATGAGCGGTGGAAGACTTCATGGTGCCTTGAAGACGGCCATGCGGTGCGTGCAGTCGTGGCACGACTGAACTTCGTTTCTGGCCTCCCGCTCCAATCTTGGACCTGGCCCTGTCTCTTTTCATGACACGCATGTGAAAGAAGTGATGATCTATGTCGGTCACCACGGACAAAGGTACAAAAACGGCGAAAACCGTTTCATGTCAGCTCGTGGCGAGGCACTTCTGTCGGACACCGCCTCATGGCCCCCTGCTGCAATCGTGCTAGGGCCCCCAAAGGTCGTGACGCCTGCGGGGTGAGATCATGATGCATCAATCGATCTGCCTGCTGTCAAGGTGCGTGCATGTTGGATGGCAACCCGTCATCTCTGATCCTGCCAGTATGAGTTGCAGCAATGTCTCACACCCTTCTTGACCGGTGAAGAAACTGTTGGGTTAGAGTTGACCATCCAAGCGCAGGCCTCTTTGCGCACAAAGTTATCTTGTCGCTGGTGCTCAGAGTCGCTCCCTCGCACAGACGGCAATGTCGTCCGTTCTTTCGGTCACATCTGGTACACCAGCTTGCTTTAAGAATGCCTGATATCTGGCATCAGTCGGACACGAAGGTCCGCCACGATTGGCGAGTGATTACTATACATCGTACTAACCGAAAGCCAGGTCTTTGGGATGGAATTGGCACAACGACGTATCGGTAAACAAACTTTCCGTATCAAGCCGTAGCAAGTCGCCTCTAGGAGGATGTCAAGGTATGGCCACGAGATCACACCGTTCCGTATTTCGTGGCTAGATCGGCCACTACTGCCGCTATACCAACATCTCAAGCTATTGTTGGCGTAAAACCAGCTGAGCAATGAGGGGTCATACACCACGCTTTACCGCCTGTTCAGTAATTGTTGGAGTAGCACAAGCGCTTTTTAATGCGGTGCAGGGGATGCTGGCTGCATGCGGGTACAGGTGACAGGTCGCATTTTGCATCATTTCGCTTCAGAGTGTCACCTAAGGCTTTCGTGTGTATGCGTCTGCGAGAGCCCGGTGCTCGAGATACAGACCAGACAACACAATTGCAGTTCATGAGGCGCTTGCTCGGAAATGGGAGCATCAACCTAAAGATCCCTCAGTCAATGTTTCGTGCCCAGATCGTCGTCAGATCCATGCTCGATTGTGGCAGAGGTTGGATCGAGAAGAAATGTGGAGGTGGAGTGCCGGCTGGGGTGCCGAATCCGATACTCGATCAGATCTTTCAGCCTCAAAAGCCTTTTGTAACCTCGCTATGCCATTAGAAATGACCCATGCCAGTGTTTTTCGACCATGTCAGTCATGCTTGAACACGTTGGCACCTGTCGCAAATGTTACCCTTGAGATGGCCAAAGTCGGCTCCAGCGCGCCGTGCAGGTGATTGTCTTTCGAA